GCCTTGCAGGTTGGGACAGGCAGGTCTCTGCTGGAGTATGAAAGGGGTGAGGGGAGTGCTCAGGGGGGTTGGCCACAACCTCCCGCTCATGTGAGAGCCCTGCTTTTTTATTCTGCTGTTGCCAGAGAAACTCCTCAGTACTCAGACCCCAGGCCCTCTCAAAGCTCTGCCGAATCACCCCCTCGCTTGTGCTGCAGGGAAAAGATAAGTGTAGTAATGCACATGAGGACAACGGCAATTTAATACACCAGCACAAATCTGCTCAAGCCTCCTTGCCAAGAGTCCTGTCCAGACGTCCTAGCCCGCCCAGATCGCAGCACAGTCCCCATCACGCACTGTGCTGCCAGACGCTGTCTGCTGCCCTTGTCTGAGTCCCACAGACCTCACGGACACACGCCGCTCCCAGACAGCACCTTCTGTCTCAGCTGCTCCATCCCTGAAAACCTGGCAGGGAAAAGCAAGAACCAAGGAGGAGCTGGGAACAGAGTGTACCTGACAGCCCTCAGGTCACCCCTTGACTCACGTGCATCTATCTACTGCCTCCCTCCCTCGGGCAGGACCCAGAGTCCAGGCACTGTGCCCCTCCACTGTTCCCCCTCCACGCTGCATGAGGAAGGGGATGGCGAGCAGCGAGGGGGCACTGCTCAGCCAGCATCCTCACCCCGAGAGCTCAGCCTGAATCCAAACGCTTCCAGGGTCACCTGGATTATAAAGGAACAACTTCTGCCTCCCCTAAAACCCGAGAGACCAGCAAGTGCCAGGGAGTCACCACACCTGTCCCCTCCAACAACAGGACACATCTGTCCTGACTGATCTCTTGCAGATCAGCCCAGTAAAGCTTCCATGGAGGATGCTCTTCTCCACCTGGAAAGGGACAAGTATGCAAAGGGCAAGGCAACATCTCTTGAAGGGAAAGGGGTGGCGAACCCACAGGGGAAAAGGGTGGTGAGCCCTCAGGGCAAGCCCCAGCTTTCGGGGATGAAAGAACCAGAGTTTCAGAAGCAGGCCAGATACCGCAGTGGAAGGGGAGCCCCAAAAACAAGGATGTGGGTGGAAAGAAATCTCCACCTCTGCACTTTGGGCTTCTTCAAGCTCAGCCCATGCTCCCGTGGTCTCCTGACAGCTTCGGCTTTCGGGGAAGCAGCCGGTGTGAACTGAGCCGTACTTTTATTGTTCCTCCCCCTCTGCTGCAACATGAGCTCATGGAGAAAGAAACAACAGCAGCTCGAGAGATGGAAGTAAAAAGGAGAGCAGTGTGCTGTAAGGACACGAAATGGCCACAGGCGATCTAGCCAGTCTGGTCCACAATCCTGCCGACAGACCTCCGCACCAGCCTGCATTTCTGCCCCAGCTTACAGAAGTTAAAACCCAGCGCTCCCCCTACAGCAGCGCAGGTCTCTGTCCCTGCCAAGTACACATGAACTACCTGGGGCTGCGTGCCCCTACCTGTGCACAACCCTCCCTCTACTTTGCAACCCAAGGTGTGCAGGCTTGCGTGACATCGAGAAACAGCCCATGAAAAGAGCTTCAGAACCTACTGCTGCTGCTGATGAGTTTTCACACACCAGCAAGTGATGTACATCATGCCCTTGTGATACCTAAATTCTCTGTAAGCTCTCACACACACAGCCAGCACCCTTTATAGGGCTTTTCCTCACATAGCCAGTCCTTATAACGGCTTCATGCCTGAGGGGCCAGGAATGTCACACTCTAAGGCCAAATCTGGCTCCAGATGCCATGCAGGACACTTGCGCCATCCCACCTACAGACTTGGGGTAATGCTGCCACTGCCTGCCTTGTTCATTCCCTCCTTCAGGAGGTATGTGTTTCGTTTCTCAAATATGGCTCGTTTCTTCCTGGGAGTAGGAAAGGACTGGAGCATTTCAAGCTGCTGACGTTTCCTCAGCATTACCTGTTGGCCATGAGATAGCCATAGGTGAAATTACTTTGCAGCCACATTAATACATGCAATTTAAAACCAGTGCTGCCACCTCTGCAGTCACCACTCAGCATGGATGACAACTACAAACACTACCCACTGCCAGAGTGCCAAGGAGAGACAGCCTGAGCACTGGAACAGCAAACCAACACACCAGGAGAAGCTCCAGCACCCTGTCCCTTGAGGATGTGGGATTTCACAAAGCAAAGAGATTAATGAAGCAATCAGGCAGCCACTATTTTACCTTTCTCACCTGAAGACACTTTAAAGGCTGACATATATCGATTGCCACATCTGCACCTGGAACCTGTCAAATAGAAAGGTCACTCTGACAAACAGGGAGCAGGGGTTTAATAGGAAACCAGAATCCCAACATTAACTTACAATCTAGAAACACACGCTGGCTCAGTTTGGCAAAAGACCTCCAGACAAACCTTTACAGTGTCCCTTAGTGGATCGGTAGCGGAGATAGTTCACCCCAAACTCACTGGCATATAGGTCAAGGCAGGAACCCATGGCTAGTAGCAAGGGAAAGGAGAAAACGAAGACTAAAGACACGCAATAGCAGCTTGAAGTTATCTCCTCAGATTAAGGTGACTACAGAGACACAGAATCAGACTGACAGCGCTCTTAGGTGTTCAATTGTTCAGGGGTCCTGAACGATCCCTTTTGAAGAAGCCGTGGATATTAATCTAAAAACCAGCACCTGCTTCATCCGCACAGGTCTCACTGGCAGGGCTCTAGGATGTGCATTCAGACACGTCCGAGGAAGGCGCTTCCCACATCATCCTGGATCCGCTCTGGAGATTATTCAGCCAAGGACCCAGCAATGACACGACACGACCCTCTCCAGCCAGCAAAACCAGACAGAACCACAGCAGTCGCTGGTGCGACTGCTGGCATTGCATTCATGGAGAACATCAACCATGTGCTCTCAGAGGCTGCCTGGGACATGGAAACAAAAAGCAGAGAGAGTGCAACTATACTGCTGGGGATGCTCTGAGGGGCCCCTCTCTTCTCTTCCATCCCCCCTTGTGAGCCATAAAGCCACAAACATTATGCAAGGCTCATTGGACTGACAGCTAAGATTTGTGTAGCAGTAGTTTGTTGAGCAGCAGGGAGATAGGGCGAGGTAAAAACCATGGAGACCTAGATGACTTGTTCTGTTAAGGCATCACTTGATGGTTACTGTTCCAGTAAAGAAGAACTGACTGCCAGAGTACAGTTTAAATGTCCTTTAAATGTCCTCCTCACCACCCTGAGCTGTGACACAGAAGCTCTCTTCTGGAAGCTGTTATCAAGGATTCCTCTTTCTCTCTCTGTCTCACACACACACATGCATGCACAGAGATGTGTCACGAAGAAGCATATTACTCCAGGGACCATATTCAGTCAACGCTGTTTCCTAGGGAAATAAGCTTAAATGATGAACATCACCAACCCGACCTTGCGAGCAGTAAAACATGTATTACAAGGCAGGATAACCAAGATAAATGGAGAAGATTAACCTGGAGATGAGGGCAAGTTAGGAGAGAGGGAAGAATGATAATGGAGAGCTCATGAGGCGCCTGGAGCTCACAGCACTGCCTCACTTTTCTAAAGACGTGCTAAGGGTTGGGGAAGTTGTAGGAGAGTATGAAAAAGGACACTGAGGGGAAAAAGACAAAAGCCAGAAGACAGACCCTAGGAAGGAGTCCCTCTGCACGGAACATTAAGGGAAGACTCCCATGCTGCAAGGACCTGAGCCAAGAGTCTTGAAGGTGCTAAAAGCCTCACTCCAAACATCAAGTCCAGCCCTAAGGCCAAAACAACAGTAAGCTGTTCAGCCCAGCGATGGCCCAGAGCCACCCAGACCACATATCTTTGCAGCCTTCACGGACAACAGAAGACACCACCAAAATATCAGTGACAAGGCCTGCAGAAGACACCTAACTCCACCGGCTGTACAGGCAGCATAAGCACCTTGTAGGTTTTCTGACTCTCCCTGCCAAACCAGGTATCTGTTGCCTAGTGTTGCACACTCAGTGCGGGCACCCATGGCCTTGGTGGCTTCCCGTTGGAAAGGGCTCAATTTCTGGTGGGGATGAAAGTCAGGGTCTTTGATCACTAGCTGCTTTTGAAAATGCCTCCAGTTACTAGACAAGAGCTGCAGCACCTCACTTATGGCGCATGTGCACGAGCAGGCTTTGTTGGGAGCATGTCTCTGTTTTGATCCTGTTTGCCCCATCCCTCTCCTTTCTTCTCCAGGTTAGTCTGCTCTGATGAATGGAGATGGCAACCTGAAATCCACTTCCATCTCCATCTCACAAGAATAGCCCAGAAACTGGACTGAGCTTCAGTCACCTCGCTTCCCAGAAGAAAACCCCATGAACAGCATATGAGGAGCATAGAGAAGATGCAGTTCCCCAGAGGTGGATAAAGGAGCTCTAACATAACTGCGGCCAAACAGCCGAGCAGTTCCACCTGAGCAATGCACAAGTGTGAGATGTCAGCTGCAGCCACGAGAGCAGTCCTCACTCCGCAGAGATCACCGCAGCACTGGTACATACCCCATCCCTGTAACGTACCCCCCAGCTCCTCTCACAAGCTCCTGGCACTCACCCGGCCGCAGGACTCTGATTTCCAGCAGGTTGGAGGTCCTGTCTGCCAACCGCGTCCAGCTGCTGTTGTAGTTCTTCCTCCAGAGCTCAGCCACGCACTGGTACTTGCCAGCCTCCGTGTCACTCGCCCTGCTGATGCTCAAGCGCACGTTGTTGCTGGACTCGGCCTTCTCGATGGCGGTGCGGGTCCGGAAACCCGTATACCTGTCGCCCCACTGGACCCCACCGTCGCGCGTGAAGGTGACCAGGTCATGAAACTCGGTGCTGCCTGCTGGCTGGAAACGCCACGTCACCGACACCGGTACCCACGACGGGTAGTGGGGCTTGATGATGCACTGGAGGTCGAAGGACTCATTGTAGGTCACCCCTGGGGTGCGGGAGATGGCTGTGACAGCAAAGCCGGCCTCTGTGGAAAGAGAGAAAAGGGCTTTAAGAGACATCTGCCTAAAGAGGCCTTGCTGTTAGCATGCAAAAGCTAGAGCATGGTCATCCAGTTGCAGGCCTGGAATAATCAGCCACCCATGTTGAGTTGGCTCCTGGTTTATAATTGCAAAGCAGCACGAAAAGCAGCGGCAAAACCCCACTTAAGTGCCTGTGTAGTGGTGACTGCCTGCACGAGCACTGGCTGCAGCGGCAGCAGGATCGCGCTCGATTTCTGCCCAGAGGAACAAGATCCCCCTGAGACCCGGAGGGTCAGCAGCCAGCCTCTGCAGGCTGCCAAAGCCCCGTACCGAAACACAGCAGCGCAGTGGCAAGGGAGCAGAGACGGGCAGAGCAGCTGGCCGGTGCCAGCCTGACCGCTCGCAGACCCCACGATTCACATCCACCTCTTGGGCAAGGTGTCCCCATCCCACTCCCCGCCCCAGGTCTGCAGCTGGTCGCTGCAGGTGAAGGGAAGATGCGGAAAGCGAGAAGTAGCAGCCTTCGTTCACATGTCAGAGAGGTAGCAGTGGCTACAAAACTGCAAGATGGAGGCAACTGAAAGAGAAGCTGGTTGCTCCTGTTCTTCACACAGCACGGCTTTTGTTCTCTTCCACATCATAGCTGCAGGATAGCTTTATGCAGTTATCCTCGCATGTCCACCACTCTGCAAGCTGGTCAATACATTTTGACTTGTCTACCTCCCAGTCTTTGTTTGCTTAGGGGAGTTTAAAACGAGCAGTCTATTAGTAATTTGAAAATAATATAATCCCAATTGACTAGCTTACGTTTTGGGTCAGAGTACTTCCGTTGCTCATTTGTTCCAAGCTGCAGAGAGAAATATTTTCTTCTCTTCCAGTCACTTCAGTGCAGCCAGCAGATTTAGCAGGGACCTTGTTTTCTACCAGCAACATCTCCAAGCAGCGCTCCCTTCCCAGGAGGCTCCGTGGGGTGTCCCACAGCTGGCTAGCAGCTCTCCTCCCTCCCCCTGCAGCGCCGACCTTCCTGGCACCCAGCACAGCTGCCGCTGCTGGGAGAAGACCCCAGCCAGTGCCCCGTAGAAACACGAATGTCTTCTGGATCAGCACAGAGCTTCAGCCTGCCACTAGCTCGAAATTACCGTTCAAGAGGTGAGCTGGGAGCTCACCGCAACCCGCAGAGCTGCTGCCACAGGCCAGACAGGCCGCAGCATGGACACCACCGTATCTGCACGCTTCCAGCAAGTGTCTCTGCAGCCCCACGGCATCACCATGCCAGAGCTGCGGGACATGTAATTACTAAGAAAACAGGTCAATCTTTGGGATTAAAGCCTCTTGCAACATGCTAAGTGATTACCCAGGAGAGGAGAGTGAGACCCAAGCTGTCTCCCCTGCAGCACTGCTGCATCTCATCACCATGTAAGCCCTTACCTTCAGACCCTGCAGCAGCCCTCCTGCGCAGGCAAGTGTGTTACCGGGCCCAGCTCGGAGCCCTGCTGAACCAGCGATGGCCCTAGAAAGCCAACTTAATTTCACCACCACCAGCCGACCTTGTAAAGTTTAATCTCCAGTTGGCCTGGGAAAGAAAGCTTCATGAAGAGACTTCTCTTGATTGCGTGTGAAAGCCAGGTATGTTTCTCAGGTCCTCAACCAACATGCTCATGGCACTTTGGTTAACACACAAAGGCCCTTCTTCCTTTGGGACGTGTTACAAACGGAGAGAAGCCATGCATAAAAGTGGGCAGATTTTCTGCAAGACCTCCCTAGAAGAATGCAGCAGCTCGCCCTCTCCCTGCCTGCCTCCTCCTTCCCCAGCCAGCTGGACACTCGAGATCCTCAGAAGTTCAGGGATATCTGGTCTCATCCGACAGCACATCTCTCTTCTGGCTATTGCTTCGGAACCATCCTGTAGATAGATTTATGGGTTCAGACATCATCTGTGCTGTTCAGCTAAAGTTTCTTACCCTGGCAGACTAGCAAATGATTAGACCTTAACTTGAAATGTGAGTGTCACTAAATTTACCGCGTATTTTTTTACTAGCAATTTCTGTAGCCATAAACCTCTCTTGCTCTTTCTTAGCACCTTCCATTTGGGTTTCTCAGGACACCTCAAAAATATTACACTGATTTCTCCACTAAACTTTCATGAGCTACTTCAGTTTTGCTAGTTGTAGAAAGATGACCTAGGAATTTCTTAGGACTTGACAAAATGTGCTCAACAGCCAGCGATTTCTCTGGGACAAGGAGAAGAGGAGGAGGAGGGACAACTACCTTTCCATCACATCTTCTGGAACTGCTGGGCAATTCCAAGCATCTGAAATTTTAACTTTTTAAATTTTTAACAAGAGTAAAAGTGATACACTTTTAAATCTCAACACTTCTACAAGTGGCAGAGTAAAGAGAAGAGCTGATATGTAGACTTACAGCAGGCCAAATGCTGCTGACCTCATGAGGAAGATGCCATTGAAACCACATGAGAATCTGCCTTTAGTTCTTTACAAACTAATGTCCCTACTTGTTTTTGGAAGCTATATAGCAAAGATTTCTAGCTCCAGACAGAACAGCCTCTGAAGGCAGGTTAAAAGTGAATGGAAGGAAAGGAGGAAAAAAGCAAGATTTTAATCAGAATGCAGTACAACTTTTGAAGTCTGGTCTCTCACACATCTTGCCAAAGCTTAAGATTAATACTGCAGAGAACAAAAAAAAAAAAAAACCAAGAAAACCCCCAAAATCCTACTGACCTTTTGATAGAGCTCCCCAACTCTTTATAGCCCTGGCATTCTGCAAATCAGTGGCCTCATAGAAATAGTCATCCCTTCTTCAGTCTCCTGCAGAGCACTTTGGGTACTAGTCCAGGAATTAATATAGCAAGGCTTGAGTGGGACCAAAGTAATTCACAATCCATGCAAAATCCCTAATGCCCTACCTGCCCTCTCCTAAACTGATGTGGTTTCACTGTGTTTGAAATGGAGGAGCCCTTTGGTAGAGCAGACTACCAGCTGCAATGATTCCAGGTCCTCATTCAGCTTCGTCACAGACAACGTTGTGGTTCTGGGCCAGCAGCTCAGTGCCTCTGTGCAGAGGCAGTGAGGGCCGTTCCTGACCCATGTCTTCTGCAGGCTTCTGATGCTGTCAGAGATGCTCGCATTGCTGGTGGCCGGGCCAGCAGATGCCCAGCGTTTTGCTCCCTGTGTCGGGCGAGCAGAGGTCAGGTTTACCCAGGGCAGGCAAGGAGGCTTTGATGCCCACGGGCTGCTGACGGAGCACCACCGCTGCACTGCCCGTAGCCTGGCTCCGATGTCGGGGGCACACGCCATGGGACTGGCAGCCTCTCTCCTCGGAAGGACACTGGAAGCACTGTCCCTCTCCTTAGCCACCCCTGGCTTTGCTCCTGTGACAGCCACCCCTCAGACTTTGCCCACACACGCAATGAGGCATGCCCGAGTGTTGCACCGGGAGCTGCCAGGTACTGCCATTTTGCTGGCGAGCAAGGGCGAGAGTGCCGGGAGCAGCCCCAGTTACTTGCAGGTGACCTCCTCGGGTGGGCCAGGCATGTGGGGAGCATTGGCCCCATGGCCCCTCACGCCTCGAGTACTCACCCAGAGCAGTGATGGACACCGGGGTGCCCGCGTGCCGCTCCCCAACCATCTGCCACTCCCCATCCAGCGTCCGCGTCCACTCGGCTACCCGGCACTCGTAGTGGCCCTCGTCTGCCTTGATGCTGTTGAAGATCTCCAGGGTGAAGGAGCCGGGCCGAACCTGCTCCACCTGGATGCCCCCGTAGCTGCTGCGCTCGGCATACGAGGGGCCCGGCTGCAGGGTGCCCTCCCGATCCAGACGCACAACTTCGCTGCGCCGGTTCAGCTTGTCCACCAGCTGCCAGGCGATGGAGAAATGGCTTTGGGGCCCGAAGCCTGAGCGCACGTTGCAGCCAAAGCGCAGGCTCTCCCCTTCCAAGACATTGCTGGCGTTGTTGATAATCTCCAAGGAGATGCTGGTCTCTAAGGAGAGAAACGCATACACACAGGGGAGATGATACACACTCGCCACTTCTTGGTCTGCAAGAAGGACGCTGCCGGCCAGAGAGGCTTTCTACCAGGTGCAGGAAACTGCCCACGCATTTGGGTCCAGGCACGTCTTAACCTCATGCGTGACCACATCCAAAAACAGCCTGTGGGCAGTGAGCTGCTCCTGGTGACTTGCACACTCAAAGCAGGTGTAGGCCAAAGCTGGGAGAAATCTCTCTGCCTACAGGTCACGAGACATTGCCGCGTCTTCTGGTCGCAGGTCCAGGATGGGATCTCAGCAAAACTGGAGGGAATTTGTGTTGCTACAACATGCACCGCATGCAACCGGCTCTGCCAAAAAAACCTTCCAGCTCCCTGGGCTTTTCAATTCACGTCATCCTGATCACCATCTTGCCACGTCCATTCCTACAACACCTTTTGGGAGAAGCTCTCCCAAACTCCCATCACTAGTGACACTAGAGGTAGCTATCAATGTTTGATAACATCAACAATACCTGGTATCCTGAGCTTCCCAGAGATGTAAGGCTTTATGGCTGGTTTTTCAGAGATATTGAGTGCTGGTTACTCCTGCTGTCTTCTGTTGGAGTTATGGACACTTAGCACCCTTGAAAAATCATCACATTTGTTCCTAGAGCTGGTCATTTATCAAATGGCAAAAATGAAATCTGTCTGAAAGGTGGCTGTGCCTAGATTAGGTATTTGTCCAGTGCAAGATTTCTATCTAGAGTAATTTTCAAAGCCAAACAAATGAGACCAAATGTTGGTAGGAAAGAAAAGAAATAGAATTTCTTTTGGAGAAATGAGATGGGGGAAAAAAAAGCTAGAGGAAAGGGTTGCATTTCTACAAACCTAAGAGATAGGAGACAAACATCGCACAAAATCCTCTTGCAGCTACCCTCTGCTTGGTCAAAGCCCACTGGGCAACATGTGCATGGTTCATCATGCCACAGCTACCTGAGTTTCAGAGAGCAAAACAAGGAACACCCTCTCCTCTCACTCTGTTATTTCTGTATTTATCACATTTGTTTGACAAAAAAGGCATTAAGGCAAACCTCCAGCAGGGTTGTTTCCACCAGTCTTGGCAGACACGCAGTGACCATGACAGAGCTCCATGCTGAAGAACAAACTGCGGCTCAAGGTACACATAAATCCTGGTTTCTCCCAGTATGGCTGTCTTGCAAGACAGCTGAACAACAGCCACTGAACGGCCTGCAGGAACCTAGAAGCTCTTAGGATAAACCAAGGCCAAGCCAGTCTCGCCGTTACACCTGCTGAGTACTTTAGAGTACGGCAGAGCAAGGTGAGGAGAGAGGTGTGAGGGGCAAGTCAGAGGCTGTCACATGCACCTTCAGCTCAAGGACAAAGCTGACAGCTTGGTGTCATTACCAAGGTGGGGGCATGTTTCCCCACTTACGAACCTGACACATATCCCTCCTTCTCTATCATCCCCTTCCCATTAAAAAAAAAAAAAAAAAAATCTTGCCAGTTGGGATTCCAAGTCTTCACAGCACACAAACTCTTATCTTTCCCTCTTCCCCACCGTCGAAGTCTGAGGACATCATGGCCTCACCAGCTAGCTGCCCAGTAGAGCAATGGCCCCAGAACGGGATGGGCAAGTCTCTACTTACTGAGCGGCAGGACAGTGATGGGGATGTTCTTTGGCCGCTTGCTCTCCTTGTCAATGAAGTCCCCCGTCACAGTCTTCTCCCGCTCAGTCACCCGACAGTTGTACTTGCCGCTGTCCTCAAGGCGGAGGCGGTAGATCTTCAGCACAAAAACATTGTCGCTTTCTTTGGCTACCTTGAGCTGGCCCAGGGCCTCACGCTGGGCAAACTCGTTGTTGAGCACCGGCACGGCGTTGGGTCCCAGGCTGGCGATGAGAGAGCTGTTGAAGGCCCAGGAAATGGAAAAGTAGCGGTCAGGGACGTTCTGCGCCTCCAGGATGCACCGAAACTCCACTGGCTCACCCACAATGTACGTCCGCTTCTCTGTCTCCAGCCGGACACTGAACTCCTTATCTGGGGAGAGACAGACCGACTCATGTCAGCATGGCAAAGCTCATCAGGAGAGCCAGCACACTTCATGCAAAGCATTTGCAACTTGCTACACCCTGCACGGCCAACATCCCTTGGACACGTACATCCGCAAGTGGAAGGGTTGCTTTTGCTGTGAAAGCCCAGACTGACTGTGCTGCAGGAGAGGCAGCTTGCTGGCCGGCATGCAAGAGCTGCAAGGCTTCCCCAGTCATAACTCTTTCCTCCAGCCTCTACTCCTGGGAGCAGCTCTGCTGCAACACGAGCATCCAGTGGCACTGCAGAATGTGACCTGGAGCCTACTCTACTCACATGCTGCTCAGCTGTGGCAAAGAGGCAGGGCCTTTGTGGTTATCAGAGAGGAAGAAAGAGCTCAGCTGGGTGTTTAGAACCTTAGCAGGAACCTGTGCTGCAGACTGGGAGAAGGATTTTGACTTGCAAATGGACCTTGTGCAATACTGAAGTGCTTACTGAAAGTTTTAGCTTTATTTTCCGCTGTGCCTCTCTTACCTCCTCACTTACCAAAATTCTCATTGCCTGTCCTAGCATCAAGTGCTTAAGATGTATGCTTTAGTTCCTGTGTCAGTCTCAGGTGAACACATCAGGAGACAGGGCCTGCCACCCCAGCCCCCTTGGCAGGGGGGTTGGACCAGATGATCTTCAGACGTCCCTTCCAACCCCTACCATTCTGTGATTGTGTGACATTTGTTCTGCCCACAGGCAGCACTTGGGCTCTCCTTCACCCTGCCTCACCCTGGCAGCAGCCTCCCAAATGGGGTACATGGCAAAGGAGGGGGCCAAGCCCCAGCCACCTAACAAGGCACAGCTCCATTTTCTGCCTCCTCCCACCACCCAGCCGAGCAAGAAAAGGCAGAGGAGACACTAACCGGTGGCTTGCACGTTGACAATGGCACCCTGGGAACGCTTGCGGGTCATAGCATACCAAGACTTGTCTGGGTCCTGGATCCACTCCGCTGCCTCGCAGTAAAACTCGCCCTGATCTGATGGGTGGAGGTTGTAAATGGTGAGCTTTGAGGTGGTCTCCCCAACTTTGTCCAAGCGAATGTCCCCTGTGGCTTGCCGCTGGGCATAGGTGCTGCCGGCCCGCAGGACGAAGTCACGGCTGAGGGAGATGACCTCCACAGGCGTCTCGCTGCCTCGCTGCCGGTACCAGGCAATGGAGACGTGGCTGTGCTGGGATGTGCTCTTTGACACCTCGCACTTCAGCTCCAGGGAGTCGTGCTCCACTTTGTTCAGTGTCTGTGGGACTGCCGTCACTCGCAGCGAATCGGGGATCACTGCAGCAAAGAGGGATGGGGAAACACAGCCCAAGAGTTAGCGATGCCGAAATGCTGAGTTCTAAAGTCCAGACACGTTAAAGGAGAGCTGGGGGAGAGGTTTCTTTTTACGGTTGTAATTAATTGTTAAGTATTAGCAAAGCCCTGTTAGCTCACATCTAGCCCCCCAAAAGAGGAGAATCATCCCCAAAGTCCTTGGCTGGGAAAGACTGTGACCTGCAGCCATACTCCAGTGCTGTGCTTAAATTCCTCAACAGCCCCAGCGACTGCACAGGGTTTTCCACCATGCTGCAGAGCAGCACAGCTTAATACATCTGCTTCCCACCGAGGTATTTTGTCACGAGCAGCACCCCCCTTCATTGTGTGCCCCCCAGCATGCTTGGTGACCCCCCTCCTGCCCACATCCTTCAGCCACTCCTTAGTTCTGCACCATGGTCTTCGCTCCTCAGTCCCCTTTGGGGCCAAGCCAAACATACTCGGTTCCTTTAACCTTCCCTCATAAAAAAGTCAGGAGGTCCAATTCCCCTCTCCTTTGTTGATTTCCTTTCACGTTTTAATGACCCCCTGAGGCCAAAAGAAGGGGTTTCCGCATTGGAAGTGGCTCCTCTGAGGGCAGCAATGCAACTGCAGCATGCCCAGAGCCTGGTCCTGGGACATGGACATGTCAAGGCACTTGGTAATAAAACTGCTGGCTACTTTTCCAGTTGATTAGCTGGAGGAACGGAAGTACAGCCACTAAAATCAGGATGAAAAAAAACCTGCAGCCCCCCAACCGTGCTTGATTTTAGCAAGCATCGTGATTTTAGCAAGAGGCTCTACCACCAGAAGATAGACTTTCTTAAAAAGAAGCCTTTCTAGACTTTATTGCCTCGAGAAACATCACGTGGAAAGAAGAATGCAAACCTTCTCCCCAGCTCTGCAGACAAGGCAGCGCCAGTGAGCCTGTTAATGCCCACAGTTTCACCGCGTAGCGGTGGAATATAATTAACATATCTCAGTTCAGTTTCATTGACAGCACTGGAAGGTCTCACGAAATTAGCTGAGCTGCCAAAAGCTGCATCTGTTTCGTTCAGGCATGGCTACAGAAAGCAAAGAGCTGCAGTGAAGACAACCGCTGTGATTCTTTATGGCAGAAAAGTCAAAGCAGAGGAGAGGAAAGAAAAAAGCCACGAGATGGAGTAAACAAGAGGGAAATATTCCTGTGTCCAGCCTGGATGGGGGCATTCCCTTTTACCACATGTTCGCTACCCTGGGAATTTACTGCCCCTGACAGGGGAAGTACCTGGTAAGGCCATTTACACCACAGGCCATTGCCCCCATCCATGCAGTCACGTGTCTCCTCCTCCCTCTCTTCCCCTCATCTTCCTCACTGGGGTTCTGGTCCGCTGCCCACCGGCAATAGCCTCTGGCAGACCTTGGCCAGGAGCCCACCTCGCTTCGCCTTTCCCCTTTCCCTCCGACTCCCAAACCAGTGGTAACAGCGGCAACTAACCTTGCCGGTTCACACCGCCTGCACGATGAGATTTAAATTTCTCATTTCAAAACTTTCTGAATAACTTCCAAAGCCACACAGCTCCTTTCTCTTTGCCCTCCAGCTGCGGGCTCTTATACCTTTTCTTTGTTATTTAAATACATTAAACTTGATCATCATCTTGCTGAAGTTATTTTCCTCCTGAGCTGCTTCAAAGGCAAAGCTCCCTGCTACACCAGCCTCCGTACGACAGCTGACAGGGTGAAAGCGGCTATCCACGAAGAAAGCGTGCCCATCCTCCTTCCCCCAATTTGAGAGCCCTGGCTACCCCAGCAGGTGCCTGTGTGCCCCCCCAGTCCTGCTCAGCAGCACGGCCTCTTGCTGGCTATGGGCAAGGCAGTGCCCTGCCTACCCTGGGAGCCCGCCTGGCTCTGCAGGGCGAGTACGGGGCAGGCGCTTGGCTTGCCAGACACGGAGCTGCCCGCTCCCCGGGACTAATGCCGGGAAGCCTGTCCAAAGGCTGGACCTCAAGCAAGCGCCTGCCACACCGCTCCCTGAGCAGGTTAGAGGCTGCTGGAGCTGTGACTTCATATTCCCAGGTCAAAACCTGGCTGGAGGGTTAGCATCTTTTACACCACGTGGGTAGGCTATTGCAAAATGCTTTCTTGGAGAAAAATCAGGAGGCGGCAGCGTGCTGGTAAAGGCTGTAATTTAACTGTGGTAGCACCTGACACGCTGTGCTGCATTCCTCCTGCTCTTTTGGTTAATAAAGCCAACCGAGAACCTCCTGGTTAGAGGAATCGGTAAGACCTTCTGGCTTGCACACAGCCTTGAGGCATGGACATACATTCAGCTGGTGTCACCTTCCTAACCAGGAGGACTAGAGACGCACTTGCTGAATAAAAGCCCAGTTTCCGAAGGATCAGACGTCGGGAGGGACAGGCAAAAGCCCTGTGCTGGCCGGGCCAGCGGGAGCGCTCTGTGCCTCGCGCCACTGCTCTCGCGCTTGGTCAGCGATGCACAAACAACTTTCTTAGTTAACGCTGCAAGATGCACCTTGGGTCCTAGGTTTGGGGAGGGGGGAAGCGGGTAGGAGAAAGGGGAAAACGCTGTTCTCAAGAGGCAGCCAAATGTGGCAGCAGGTCACAGCTCATTTCAGAAGCCTGATGAGCATTTTGTTCTGAGTGCTGCAGAGAACCGGGGACTCCCACAGCAGGACCGCAGGTCTGCTTGGGCTCACGCACCACCCCAAGGCACAGACCACACTGGTCTGCGCCAACAAGAGGGCTACAGGAATGGCTTAGCCCTTCAGGTCAGAGCAGATCAGGCCTGGAAGTCATGGAGAGAAGAGCAAGCAGAGAACGCCGCAAAGGTTCTCTCTAGGGCACAACAGCGCACACAGGGAGGTGCGTTATCAGAAGAGAAGTTCTTCCCAAGCCAGTTATCCTGCTCAGGTTTCAAGGACATCAGTTTGCAGATCAGGACACGAGTAACTCTTTGCATGGTGTTCAGCTGGGAGCCCTGGTTCTGCTGCCAGCCATCACACGGCCGAGCTGCCCGCACTCATCCCGCAGCCGCCCGCCATAGGAAGGACCAGGGTTTCTAGGGGCACTCTGCAAGCTGAGCTCCACTTGGAAGCAAGGGTAAGCTTAGATGAGAGTCATCACTGTGTGAAGGGGGGCGGAAACACACCTGAATCAGAGCCAAGAGGGATGCTGCAGGACACGTCCTCTTGCCCGCTCCTTCTCACCCAGCTCCTGCCTGTTTGTCCCCTCTTTTCAACATGCCACCCAGACAGCCTGCCTTGCAGGTCCCCAAGCATCCAGCCTTGCTTCCTCCTCGTCCCCCAACACAAGTCCACCCCTGCAGCTGTCATCACCTCCCAGAGGTGTCAGAAGAGCTCCCCTCTCTCCAGCATCAAGTTTAGGTTGGGCAGCGAGTGGCTGGACAGGGAGATGAGCATCTGAAAAGCACTTGCTGGGAGCAAACCTACTGCCATCCTCCAGCCAGTCTGCTGAGCCTGGCCACAGCTGACAGTATTGAGCTTGTACTTACAGCACTGAAAAAAAAAAAAAAAGGCAAGAAATACAGCATTTCCTATTAGGCCCCAAGCTGCAGGTTACTGCAGAGGGAACTGGGATAGGTACTCAGCAGTGGGTGGGCTGCTAAGCAGAGGGTGCTAAGCACCCCCAAGCTTTGAGAGCTCCTGAAATATTAAATGTAAATATTGCCACTAGAGGGTGTCAGGGACCCAGCTAGGGAGAGTCCCAGGCCCCTGCTGCCAGGACTAGGAGGAGGAGGAAGAGGAAAGCAGGCAGCCTGGAGAGGCTCCCCTCTCCTCCAGGGTGGTACCCATGGCATCCCTCCTCAGGAAGCCTGCACACACACAGCTCCAGTCAAAACCACCTCAAATGCACACACCTCAATAACACGCACTGAGCACTCGGTGAGCTAATTAAGGCTAACTTTAGGAGAAGGAATTGGCTTACAGTCTCCCAGAAAACAAGTGGGGAGCAGAGACTGAAGTTCCTGGGTCTGCACTTCTCTGAGCCCTAGGACAAGCTCCCTTTCCAGCAGCTCCCGGCGCCATACTAAACTCTGCCTTGTGCAGACAAAGCTGACTCCCTGACTCCCTTTTCCCTAGGCTGGCTCTGGTTCATTCTTGGGTATTCAAAAGCCCAACCACCTCCAAGGCATAGGCTATCAAAGCTTTTGTGTGCCAGGCACAAACCAGAGAGCTACCAATACATAATCTATTTGCAGGCCAGGCAGCAAACCTGCCTGAGATTCCATTTTCTTGTTAAGCGACGCAGTAGGAGCGACAGGCTGGGAGCCAGAGGCCCCCAAGCTTGAGCTGGTAAAACAACGCTGTGAAAATCACTTAGCACCACAGCAGCCTTACACTAGAGGCTCTTCAGGAGTAAAACGACTTACACAGGCTACTCAGCACAGTGGGACCATCTCAGGGCCACCGCAGGACAAGTAAAACACACCAGCCTCCTCTTCTTCCCATGGATTCCTTATAGCTTTTACCCACTGATGCTGAGGCACCCTGTGGTGCTACCCTATGTCCCCAACTGCCCAATTCATACTACTCCAAGTGTCAGGTGTGAACTGTTTAGGAAGAATAAACACATGTACTCCCTATTCCTAGGGAGCTGTTTCTCGCTGAGAAATACTGCTCTGGATTTTGCAGGGAATTAGTGCAAGAGTTACATTTCCATCTGCCCCATGGCATCTTGCTGCCCCGCAGCGATCCCAGCTCAGCGCCCCGAACCTCCTTCCCCAGCGCCTCTGGTTGTGCGTGCAAGATGGAAACAAGCAGCTCAAGAGGAATCGCAATGCCAGTGCCACCCGCCCAGAGAACGGCACCACGAATGGCACCGTGGGCGGGAGCGTGAGGCTCGGGGATGCAGCGTTTCGTTATTACCCTCTGCAACCTGCTAACCTTCCTGCAGCCACTCATGCCACCCCAGGGAAGGAGGGTCTGGCACCAGAGCCACCCCGATGCCACAGAAACAGCTGGAAG